TCATTAATGAATACATACACAGAAATCCTAAATAAGGTACAGGCAAATGGAATGCAGCAAATCATCAAGATTACACAGCATGACCAAGTAGGAGTCATCCCAGGGATGCTGGGATAGCTCAACGTAACACAAATCAATAAATGTAATACACCTAAGAACAGAGCCAAGGACAAAACACATGATCATCTCAACAGACACAGAAAAAGTGTTTGACAAAGTCTAACATCCATTTATGATAAAACTCTACAGTTTTATCATAAATGGGTGTTAGAGAATGGTCTTTATTATCTCTATCTGATAAAAGCCATTTACAACAAACCAATAGCCAACATCACAGTAAATGGACAAAAACTGAAAACTTTCACCCTAAAATCAGAACAAGACAAGGATGTTCACTGTTACCACTCGTATTCAATATAGTTTTGGAAACTAATGTTTCTGGCTAATGCCAGAGCAATTAGATAAAAGAAATAAAAGGAGTAAGGATAAGAAAGGAAAAAGTTAAATTATCATTTTTTGTGAGTGACATATTCTACATAAAAGACTCGAAAAACTGCACCGAAAAATTTGTAGATTTAAGGATCAAATTTAGGTAGCTGTGCATGGTGACACACGCCTATAATCTCAGCACTTGGGAGGCTGACGCAGTAGGATCTTTGCAAACTGGAGACCAGCCTAGGCTACAAAGTGAGCTCACAGCCAGCCTAAACTGCATATTGAGATCTTGTCTCAATCAAACAGACAAAATCAAATTTAGTAGCTTAACTGGATTCAAAATCAACACTCAAAAATCAATAGCATTCCAGTACACAAAAATAACAAATTCACTAAACAGAAACTTGAAATTATACCGCAAAGCTACTATAAACAAAAAAGCATACTAAGGACTGGGGATTTAGCTCAGCAGCATAAGCATCTGCCTTGCAAGTGTGTGGTGACGAGTTCGATCCCCGGTACTGATTTAAAAAAAAAAAAAACAACAGCATACTTCTGGCCAAAAAAACCAGTATACTACTGGCCCTCCCCTAAAAAACACCTGAGGATCAGATCAGTGGAATAGGTTAGAAGATACAGAAACAACTCCAAATACACTCGGCCACCTAATCTTTTAACAAAGAAGCCAAATACCTTCACTGAAAGAAAGATGTCCTCTTTAATAAATGGTGCTGGACATTAAAACTAGACCCATATCTCTCACTGTGTGCTAAACTAAAATTGAAATGGATCAAAAACATAAATATGAAAATAAAAACACTAAATCCACTAGAAGAATAAAATAGGTAGAACTCTTGAAGACAATGGTGAAGGAAAAGACTATATACAGAACCACAACTGCACAGGAAACATCACAAAGAATCAGCTGGGATCTGATCTTATTAAAAAGGTTTTGCAGAGTCAAAAGAGACAGTATGAGAAAAAAATTTTGCCAACTATTCCTCAGACAATGGTCTAAGATCAAAATACACAAAAAAAAAAAAACCTCAAAAAAATTAGACTCTCTCCAAATTTGAAGAACCAACCAAAAATGGGCATCTGAAATGAACAAGATACTTCTTAGATGACATAAAAACAGCAAATAAATGTATTTTTTAAATGTTCAACATTCCTGATCATTTGAGAGATACAAATTAAAACAATGCTGAAATTCCATCTTATTCCAGAAAGAGTGACTATTATCAAGAAATCAACCAATAACAAATGTTGGAGGAAAAAGGAATCCTTATCCACTTGTTGGCTGTGTAGACTGAAATAACCAATGTGGAAATCAGTTTGGAGATTATTCAAAAGACTAGGTCTAGAGGTTCCATTTGACCCAGCTAGTCCTCCTCTTAGTATCTTCTCGAAAGATAAAAGCATCACACCACAGTGATACATGCAATACTCATGTTTACAGCAGCAGTTTCATTTTGTTTTGTTTTGTAGACGGAGTACCAAGAATCGAACTCGACCTGGTACTTGCCAGGCAGACATCTGTGATACTGAGCTATATCTCTGGCTCTGTAGCAATTTTTTAATAGCTAAATCTTGGAAACATACAAAATGCCCATCAACCAATGAACAGATATTAAAAGATAAAGTTTTTTAATATGATGGAGTGCTACTCTGCCACAAAAAGGATAAATTTGAGCCATTTCTAGCTAAATGCATGCACTCTAAGACCATATTCTTAAGTGAAATAAATCAGACATGTGTTTAAATATTGCTTTGTTTCTCTGGTGTGAGACACTGAGTTCCTATTATACAAGGACCAATCTGTACAACAGATATTGGGAAATAGGAATAAAATGTTCAAGATTGGGATCAAAGTAAGGGAGGAGGAAAAGAGAAGGGGACAAGGAAAAAAATAATAGAAGGAAAAAATGGAAACAAAGCTTTTATAAATAAGGAGAAGAAGGGTTCAAAGGAGGTGAGGGGAATGGGGGAAAAAGCAGATATATCTTGCACAAGTTCAAATTGCCGAGAATATAATCAATATATATATTTAAAATGTTCCAGTAAAATAAAGATAACATTTTAACCTAAGAGAAAGATCAACTTCTAAAGTGGTCAGAGAGAAAGAAAAAAGTAAGACACATCATAGCAATGTTATAAGAAGCATTTATAGACAAACAATAGTAATGATAAACTCAATATTGGCATATTAGGGCCTGGGGATAGCTCAGGAGCACAAGTGCCTGCCTGGCAAGTGCAAGGTCCTGAGTTCAATTCCCGAGAACAAAAAAAAAAAAAAAATAGAGGCACATTAAATGATGTGACTATATAAATGCATTCCCTCCATGAAGTATATTAAAAATCTTAATGGCAGTAATAAGAAGCAAGCTACGGTTCCCAACAATCAGCAGTATGCCTTCAAAGTGAGACTCTAAATTCCAATAAACATAGTCCCTAGCCAGGCGAGATGGTGCACACCTGTAATCCCAGCACTCTGCAGGCTGATGATTGTCTTGAGTTCAAGCGAGGCCAACCTGCTCTACAGAGACAGACTCTGTCTCAAAAAAAAAGGAGGGTCCTAATACAAACCGAGGGATTAAACCCAGCATCTTCACATTGAGCTACATCCCCAGTCTTTTTTTCCTTTTTTATTTCTTATTTTGAGACAGGGTCTCACTAAATTGCCCTGCCTGGGTTCGAACTTGTGATCTTCCTGCTTCAAAACCCCAGAGCACTGGGATCACAAGCACAAGAAGCAAAAGCAACTACAGTGGCAACCCACAAGAGATTCAACTGCTGGCTCATTCCAGAGATCCAGTGCTTCAAAATTAATGTTGGAACTTTTCTTTGGCCATATGAAAACACATTAAGACTTTTTTAAAAAGACTATTTCAAAAAGACTACTGCAGTAGGGGAAAAGTTCAACCTGAAGATCTTCAGCTGCTTCAAATCCAAACAAAAGAGGACTTTTTTGCCATTGCAGGGGGGAAGTAGACCAGCAGACCCGGGGGACACTGGGCAAAAGAGGGAGTGCATGGCATACAGTGCAGTCAAGCTGTGCCACACCCACCCAGATGCCATCTGCATTCTGCACTTACTCAGACTTGGGGCAAGCTGTGATTGAGGGGTCCTTTGTGACAAAGAGAAAAGCCAGGCTGAAATTCCAACCAACCAAGGCAGCTGGTAAATAATGGACAACTGTTCTCCTTATAATGGTGATAAAACTGGTTTTAACTGTATTATTAGAGCAAAAGAACAGTTACAATCTAAATATTCCAACCTGAAGGTTAGGAAAATACAAAACATGACTTGTCACTGTTGCCTAGAGCGTGGACTCTTTGGTTCCTAGACTGGGCAGGCAGGGGAGGAATACAACCCATTCCGCCAGACAGGTCACAGAACCTGCAGCCTCTCCGGTGCGCACAACTCTCTTAAGAAAGCCCTTCCTGGGGCTGGGGATTTAGCTCAGCGGCATAAGCACCTGCCTTGCAAGCAGGCAGGTCGTGAGTTCGCTCCCCGGTACCGATAAAAAGAAAAAAGAAAAAAAAAAGTGTAAAAAAAAAAGAAAGCCCTTCCTCTAAAGCAGTCAACCAACACAACACCGCAAAAAGAGAACAAATAACCCAGAAATGTTAATTTCTTACAAGAATGCATTAAAAAATAAATAAAAAGAATACATTCCAAATATTGGATTGGAGACAATAGCTGCACAAAATCATAATCACGTTCTACCAAAAACCTTTCCATTGGCCTCAAATTGAGAAACACACATACATTTACTCCTAGTCATATGATCAGAAGCAGAGAAATACTTCTTAAGGCTAGGAAACAGTTACAAACTGGACAAAAACTAAAAACTACTAGTTCCAGATTTAATGAACAAATTTAAAACATTTTAAATTCTTTCTTTCTTTTTTTTTTTTTTTTTGGTACCAGGGATCAAAGTCACAACCTCGGGCTTGCCAAGCAGGTGCTTATACCACTGAGCTAAATCCCCGGCTCAACATTTTAAATTCCAATTATACAACTGTTATTTTAATATTGTCACTAACACGGTTACTCTTATTAAAGAACTCTGCAATTTCTTTTGAAATATTGGAATCCACCACTGTGAAAGTAGACCAGAGTTTAATTTTAAAATTCTTTACCTATTTTCCCATAATATTGCCACTGACTGACCATCCTTACTTGCTTTGGGTGAAGGGTTCCCAAGTGAACACATGAGTTCTCTCCATCTGAGTAGATTACTGGACTATCAGCAGGAAGAGACAAGAGCATCCAGAGTAGCTGCAAACCAAAACCCTCCCTCTCACCTCCCCCCTCCAAGGCTCCTCTCTTGGCCCAAGCAGCCCTGGAATGGCTTTCTCTTCCTCAGCAAACCTGCCCAGCATCTTCACTGTATCAGTCTACCAAGCTGTGTTATATAAGCTACTGGTATGCATCTCCTACCAGACTGTGAACAGGGATGGTACTTGATGAGACAATAAACAGTGGCTTAGATTTTAACAAAAGAAAGAAAGAAAAAAACTTCTATTTTAGCATTGTAGTATTTTAAATACGCTATTTACCATTTAGTGATATGTTATGACTCTCCAAGGCCATCACTCCAGGCGAACCTGTAAGAGAAAGAAAATTGGATTATACACCCTCGCCAAGACTAAAGCAACCATCTAAAAGCCAGTTAGCAACAGCTAAAATGCTAGTGTGTGCTGGCAATGAAAATCAATTTCCAGGAACTTAAGCCTTATACAGCTCGAAGATATTCAAGAATACACTGGATCACCCAATGCGACCAAACTGCTGACCTTTTCTTCCTATGTTCCTTATTTACCTGAAAAAATTCTGATTTTTGCCAGGCACAGTGGAGCACACTGTCATTCCCGCACTCAGGAGGCTGAGGCAGGAGGACTGCCATGAATTCAAGGCCAGCCTGCACTGTAGTGCAGTGACAGTGAGACCCTGTCTTGAAAAAAATTTTTTCCTCAATAAACATCAGCGATTTTTATTCTACAATTAGTCTCTTTACAAAACTTAAATGAATGCAGACACTGAGGAATTAGAGAAGGGTGAGCAAAAGAGAAAGACAGGGAGAGGCAAAGACAGAACAAAGACGGATGAAAGCTCTGGCCAGCTGGGGACTGAGCTGACAAGAGGGCTACACGGGGACCTGCGCTGTTGTTTTTACCTGCGGTTACAGCAGCGTACTTCCTTCTCGTGGCCCCTGTCCCTTTCCTCTTGCCACTTCTCTTTTTGAAAATTCTGGTTTTTCTCTCCCTGTCCACAAAGTAGTTTTTGTTTTTGTCTTTACACAACTTACTGCTCCTTTGATTCAGGGCACCAGACCTTACCCCCCACAAAAACAAACCCAACTCCATCAGCCAAGGAAGGGACGGAAAAAGGACTCATTATTGTAACCCTGACTGCATTGTAAAAACCTTCCACTGGATAAATTAAATCTGAAATTTTGTTATTCTTCAAAGAATACTACTCTGTTCAGGAAGTTATTCCTACTGCAAGATTAGATTTCCAGTCCTTTTCTCACATGTATGAAAGCTGACTGCCTTTGTTGCTTTAGCTTCACGCATGGTTTTTACAACACTATCTAACACAAACACACGCCTCACAGAGCAGAGCTCCATGGCAGGCTGTGTTTCAACGTGTTAATCTCCCCTAATGCAGCTTTGGAAGAAGGAGTGCGCCTTCTTATGACACAGCATTTTCAGACATGCTTACATCAATCCATCTCTGACACTGATTACAAAGAAAAGTATGTCTTGAGTGTTTCAATATGTTACAAAGAATAGAACACTTGTCTTCTGCCAGGCATAGTGGTTGGTACAGGCAGATGTGGCCTGAACAGTTCCAGGAAAGTCATCAGGCTGAGTATCACAAAAAGAAGAATAAAATGCAAAGGCAGGAATTTGAACCCTCATCCAAGTTCTTTCTGCCAATTACTTGGAGTTTCAATATGTGATACGCCCAACTCAGTATTTTGATGACAGTATGTCTTCACCATAAAATTCGTAAGAGAAAAAGGGCCAGTGCAGTCACATAAACATTAAGAGTCAGGGCCAAGGTTTGTTCCCAGTCACCGTAATGACCTCTCTTAATCAGCTCCTTGCACATGGTGTGTACAGCGCTATCTAATACAAACATGCACCTCAAAACAGAGCTCTACAGTAGGCTGTGTTCCAAAGGGTTAATCACCCCTCTTGCAGCTTTGGTAGTGCACACTCTGCTAATACAGCAGCTTAAAACAAGTTTCAATCATCCCCAACTACAAAGTAAATGTTACACCCGGCATTCTTTTACATTAAAACTACCAACATACAAGAGAAGAGTAGCATCTACTAATTGTTGCAGACATTAAAAATTCCTTTTCTCCCACTGTAGGGGAGAGGGCACATGAAGAGACTGGCATCAAAGAACTGTGTAACACCCTACTTTTCACCTAGATCACTGCGTGCAAAACATCAAAATGGTCTCCACTTGAGACATTTTCACACACTGCATTTTAAAGCAGACATTGCGAAAGGGGGATTATAATGTATGCTACTAACTCTTTGACATGAAATAAAACTGCCTCAGTAGCTACTGAAAGTTTTAAGGTAATATTTTCACATTTAAACTTTAACTTTGGGATTTCATTGAATTGAAGCAAACTAAGAAGAAGAAAAAATGATAAGAAACAGTAAAAAAGATTTGCTTTTATTTAAAAGAATTTCACTGTGGTTTCTGTAAGAACACCTTCAAATCTCTTCACTGCACTATAGTATTTCTGCAAGAGTCTAGACTTCATTTATAAAATGTTGCAGTCAAGCTGAGAGTGTAGTTCAGTGGTTGCGGCTGCTTAGCAAGCACCAGATCCCGGATCTGACCTCCAGCACCACACATCCACCAATAAGAGTGTAGGTTATTATTAAAAATAAATATAATTATATCACATCTGTATATTGCTTCCTATCAATACTCACAATTAAAATTTTAATGAATCTTCATTGTAACTTTCTGACAGGTAGCATTATAAATATGTCACTGAATTATGAAAATATTACAATTTAGGAATACATGTTAAGGCCTGGAAATCAGAATATACTTCTTCATGAAGCAAAATTTGTAGTCAGTAAGATCTTGTGGCAAATGCATTTATGCCACGATATGGCTAACCCTTATTAAAGGGTGTAGTTAGAACTGTATTTCTGGATTCCAGGAATCTGTTCCAATCACTTGTAGATGGGGAAAATAGGAAGAATAAGAATACTTTAAGAGTGCTAGGCATTGTATTCTACAGAGAATTTGTCACAAAAAAAGTGGGGGGAAGGGACATAGCCAAGTGGCACAAGTGCCTGCCTGGCAAGCACAAGGTCATGAGTTCAATCACCAGTACCAAAAGAAAAAAAGATTTGTCAAGAAAACACAATTATTCTAATACCATCATCTATGTTAATTTTTATAAGTCAAACAGTTCAAATAAGGAACTGGTATTTTTCACATAATACAGCAACTTTTTTTAATGCCTAAAAAAAGTACAACATGCACTTTTTCAATCCAATAAAAACTTCCTACAGTAACAGTCCTCTTAACTTTCCAGCCCACAAAGTCAATAATCACAAAGCTGAGAAACCCTGCTTTTTAACAGATCCATCTTCAACTCTGATTCTTCAACATGGTTTTTAATAAATCTTCAAAGAGCCCTGTTGTGCACAATTTAAATGCAAATATTTAAAGCATGAGCATTTCTTGCCACCCTTCCTGTACAACCACCACCTTCCCACTAGGACTCTACTGTGAGGGCCTTTCAGAGAAAAAAATAAAGGGACCACTAAAATGCAGGGCAGAAAACCAGGTTCTAGTCAGCTTATCACTTTTGGCTAAGCTACAAAGCCCTATGGGCTTCAAGTTCAAATAAAAATTCTCTCTCAGGTTCTAAGAGCTGTATAATTTAAAGATGATAAAAAGGCCATGCTTTCGGACTAAGGCTAATTAGTTATGATAGCTTAAAACTTGAAAAATAGGGCCAGGGATATAGCTCAGTGGCATAAGCACCTGCCTGTCAAGCACAAAGTCCTGAATTCAATTCCTAAAAAAAAACTTTAAAAACACCAGAAAAAGGCTTGTAGCATGCCTGTAATCCCAGCACTTAAGAGGTTGAGGCAAGAGGATCAAAGGAGTTCAAAGCCAGCATAGGATACACAGGGAATTCAAGGCCAGCCTGGACTACACAGTGAGAGCCTATCTCAAAAAACAAAACAAGGGGCTGGGGATTTAGCTCAGCGACATAAGCGCCTGCCTTTGCAAGCAGGCAGTCATGAGTTCGACCCCTGGTACTGATAAAAAGGAAAAAGACAAAAAACAAAACAAAACAAAACAAATGTGGCACACACCTGTAATCCCAGCACTCAGCAGGCTGAAGCAGGATGGCTGCATTCAAAAGATGAGGTGAAGGCCAGCCTAACCCTAAACTCTGTCTTGAAAAGTCCAAAAAGCCAGGCACAGCGGCACATGTTTGTAATTCCAGCACTTGGGAGGCTGAGGCAGAAGCATTGCTCTTTGATGCCAGGCTGGACTACAAAGTGAGTTTAAGGTCAGCCTGAACAACATTATGAAACACTGCCTCCTGCTCAAAGACAAAAAATAATAATAATACTTAGGCAGTGGATATAGCTCAGCAGCACATGCACCTTCCTTGTAAGCACAAGATCCTGAACTCAGTTTCAAGTACTAGAAAAACAAACAAACCAACAAAAAGTTAACACTTTTAAAAATAACATCTATTAGGGGCTGGGGCTTTAGCTCAGCGGCATAAGCGCCTGCCTTGCGAGCAGGCAGTCGTGAGTTTGAGTTCGATCCCCAGTACCGATAAAAAGGAAAAAGACAAAAATAAATAAATAAATAAATAAATAAATAACATCTATTAGACAGGGTGGTGGCCCCCTCTCTGTAATCTCAGCACTCAGGAGGCTGAGGCAAGGGGATTGTTGCCAGTTCGAGACGAGCCTGGGTTATAAAGTGAACTCAAGGCCAGCCTGAACTGCATAGCGAGACCCTGTCTCTAGAAGACAAAAATAAAATTAATTAATTAAAACAAAATAAAAATGAGCCACAGATTTAGCTCAGCAGCATAAGCACCTGCCTGGCAAGTATAAGGTTGCTGAGTTCGACACCCAGTACCAAAAATAAAAATAAAAATAACACCTTTTATTTATGTACTAATATTACTAAAATATTTTGTTATGCTTGAATATTAAGTCTTATTAGGAGTAGAAAGTTTATTTTTAATAAAATTTTATAAGATTTTACTCCTACATTAGTTCACGTATACTAAATTGTTTAGTTCTAAGGTTCTCCTTATTTTGTGCGATACATGAAATCAGCTCTATACACCTAGCATCAAAACATTACAATCTAGGGAGATAATATGCTATTTATAAATGTGAGTTTGATTTATTTCACTTGAATATGGTCAAGTGGCCTCCATTTCCCTAGGAAAGCTCAAGATCATCCTTTTTATAGCTAAGTAATATTCCATTGCATAAAAATACCACATCTTTTTTATCCATTCTGTGGTTGATGGGCATTCAAAAAATAATAAAAAATTAAAATCTGAAAGAGTAGTAAAATCCAAAACATACAAGATATTGTACCAACGCAAGAGAAAGAAAGTGCTCAAAAGGACGAAACTATCGGAATAGAAGAAAGGAAAAAGGAGATTATATGTATGTTGGTAAACACAAATTTATGTATATGTACGCTAGATAACTATACTATTAATCTCTTCGTTCATTAAAAAGAACAGTTTGTGCTATCACTGATTGATCACTTTTGCATTTAGATTTTCCAACCTGAACAACTCGTTCTGAGATAACAATATGTAATATATTAACTAGTGTTAATTCACTATTTTTAAAATTCTGTATCATTTCTATTCTTTTTTTTTGTTTTGCTTTTTAAAATAAAAAGTAAAACAAAAAAAGATTACAGTCTAGGACAAACAGACTCTGCATATTAATCTGTTTCTGTTTTAAAAATAAAATTATTTTCAGGTATGGTGGTGCACGCTTGTAATTCTAGCAACTCAGGAGGCTGAGGCAAGAGAATCACCAAGAGTTTAAGGCTAGCCTGGCCAATACAGTGAGACTCTTGTTCCAAAAATAAAGACGTAAGTCTTTGGAAAATGGTATCAAAGGACATAAACACTTAATCACATCTCAATTATTGGTTTAGACTTTCTTTTTTTTTTTTTTTTAACTCGGTATGGGGATCAAACTCAAGACTGTACACTTGCAAGGCAGGCGCTTATGCTGCTGAACTAAATCCCCAGCCAGAAAACTAATGCATATATTAAATCAAGCATGTTGGTTTTCTTTTTTGTTTTTTTGCTGAGACACGATGTCACTGTCCAGTCCAGGCTGGACTTGAACTCGATATGGAGCCAAAGGTGGCCTCAAGCTTTTGGTTTGAGATTATGTGCCACCACAACCAGCTAAATCAAGATTTTTGGACTCTTTTTGTTTCTTTTTAAATAATCTCAAATTAACAGAAAAGTTCAAGACCAAACCATTTTTTCCCCCTGAGCAAGGGGAAGATGTTACCCTCATGACCAATGGCCCTCAGACACTACTATATGTTTCCTACAAGGGAAAAACCACGACATCAGACCTGAATAACGACAGGGAACTGATATTCATACATTGCCAGCTCATCTCCAAACTCCAGTCAAGTCTCCCAGTTAATGCATCTTTTAGCCAAAGACCCAGCTTAGAATCACAGGCCGCCTTGAGCTGCCTTATGTCTCTGGTTCCCTTCGTCCCTCTGGAACTACTCTAGGCTGCCCCGACTTTGTGACTGGGCACTCATGAAAATCCAGGAGAGTTCTGTCTCCATAAGAACTGAGATTTGGGGAGGCATTTTTTGGCAGACATCACAGAGAAATGGCTGTGTTACTGTATCTTATCAAAGCTTTCTGCATCCCGATTGATAATTTTTTTTCTTCCACCATCTGATCAAAGTGGTGTTTCTCAGCCTTCTCCACTGTAAAACTGATTTTTCACTCTGCGTTCCTAAGAATTTTGTGAGGAGTTATTTTTAAACTACGCAACTCTGCACCTCAAAAACATCTCATTCACTAATTTTAATGAATTTTTATCATTATGCACTCAACAATTCCTGTCTTATCAGCTACTTATAATCCAGTGGGATCATTACTAATTTTGATGCTCAGTTGTCCCAGATTTGTCTGTGGGAACCTTTGCTTAGCCCACTGCCCTTTCAAAAGGGTCACCATTCTTTTGCATACTCCTTGTCTTCTGGCACAAAACGTCCCAGATCTACTTATGGTTTCCCAGCCTCAGAAATCAGTCCTATATCCCAGAAGTCCTGTTAGTAAAGAATGGTATTTCATTACAAAGTATGGATGCTAAGGCATATTCATTTCATGAGAATCACTCTCCATCTCACTGGACAGAGCTAAGAAAACATGCACAAACCCTCAAACACAGGTGACACACATGTACATAATAAGCATGGCAGATCCACATTACAGCTGCACTTACACATATATATGCTGACACAGGTAAAGAGATGAGAATTTATAGTGCTAGTTTCAGTGATACTGCCTCTGCGACTTAACACCACAGGGTTCATTCTATTTGGCTCCTGTCTTTTTATTCCTTCTCCTCTAGTGAGAGACCTAGGACCTATTATTCCTGACAGATTAATCACTTATTTGATTATGCACAACTAAACTCCTTGTGAGTTGTCCTACTTGCCTGGCCCCAGCTCCTGCTCTGCTCTGCCTGTCTGAATGTCTGTGGCTCGGCTGGGACCCTGAAGGGGCCAGCCCTTTGCAGCCACACGCTCCTCACTGTGCAATGGCTCCTGAGTGGTCCTGTTGCCAGGTACCATCTGCACCCAGCAGGTGAGGGTACCTCTGCCCCATCCCCCAGGGGCTAGAGAACAGAGTATTCAGAAAAGGGGGAACAAGGGAAAGCTGGTAGAAGACCAACAAGAGAAAACCCATTGAACCAGTTCTTAACAAATACAGTGAACCTAACAATATAAAGGAATTTTAATTTTGATGATAAATTTAGTGTAAAAATGTCGATACCTCGGAAATATCACTATAAAAGATAGGCTCAAGGTGACCCACTCTAGACCCCTCTGGTTTCTCAAGAGCTACTCCTAATTCCCCATTCCCATGCCCCATGAGGATTCCTCAATAAATTCCCTAACACTGGAAAAAAAAAGTAGTAGGCTGATAGTAACTGTTCCCTTAAGCAGCTTCCAAGTTGTTAATGATAAAAACTGCTAGCATTTCAACTGAGGACGAGACTAACGTAAGGTCAGGCACTTGAATAATATTCATGCAAAATAGTTATTGCCCGGCAGTTTCTGTGGGAGGAGAAACCAGGAGACGGTTGATCAATCTTGTGCTCTGAAAGTTAAATGCTAATTTCAAATGACTCCACTACAAATATTTTTCAGAAAATAAACATGCCCAATTCCTCTAATTTGTTCCATGTAACATGTTTTATTATTAACATTTGTTTTATCATTGTTCCATGTAACAATAATAAAAGAATTTGGCAAGTCCCACTTACAAGTATTTCTCCCTTACTAAGATATTTTAATTTCTCAATTGAAAGAACTTTGAAGCCGGGTGTGGTGACTCACACCTGTAATCCCAGCACTTGGGAGGCTGAGACAGGAGGATCCTTGTGAGTTTGAGACCAGCCTGAGCCACAAAGTGAGCCCAAGGCCAGCCTGAACTGCATAGTGAGACCCTATCTCAAAAAGACTAAAGAAAGAACTAACGAACCTTGAAGCCAGGCATGGTGGCACAGGCCTTGTAATCCCTACACTCTGAAGGTGAGGCAGGAGGGTCACTCCCCAGTTCAAAGCCACCCTGGGCTACAAAGTGAGTTCAAAGTGAGCCAGCCTGAACTGCATAGCGAAACCCTTTCTCAAAAAAAGACCAAAGAAAGAAACAAGAAGAACGAAAGAAAAAAAGAAAAGAGAGAAAGAAAAGCTTCAAAGTGTCAAGGTGAGTCTCTGTGAGTGAACGGAAATAGAATCGCTGCTTGGGGCAAAAGGTTCTGCACTGTTCTTTTTTAAGTGTAAGTGTTAGGAAGGAAGACACGGAAATGTAAAGGCTGAAACATCCCGCCACGACTTCCCCAGACTAACTAAATCTTTTGAATCATCTCACCCTGATTACCTTTCCTTTTCGGTGTGTTGCAAAAAATCTAAACACTATCTCAGGAGCGTAAGTTCCCAAGGAAAGAAAGCGGAGCGCCTTTGTGCAGGTCAGCGTCCTGACTCTGTCCCTGGCAACCGGACTCGGCCCGCTCTCCAGGCGGTGGAGCTGTCTCAGCCTCGCCAGCGCTGACGCTCCGGAGGTTACTATCGCAGCAGCTTGCACAGGGAGCAGGTTAGGTGAAACGCTTTCAACGGAAAATGTAACTAGGAGCAGAACTAGCGAGGCAAAACAACTTGGCTTGGGTAGTGTTTGTCCACAAAATCCCTCCGTTAAAGAAACCACAGCCACAAAAAAAAACTTTGTTTTCAAAGACCACGATAAAAAACAAAAAAAGAAGCCCACAGCCCCGTAAAATGCGGGCCTGTGCTTGGTTTGCTTAGTCGGGATGTTTTTCCTCCTCGACTCTTAACCACGCATCCGCAGAATCCACACCTGCGGGGGAAGGCGACACCCGGGCCTCTCCGCGCACTCCGGCGAGGACCCGGGCACCGCGCCGCCTGCAGAGGCCGGGCCTGCCGTCGCCCACCCCGGCTCTCCCTGAGCCCGACCCGACTCCGGCCCGCGCCCCGACCCACCTGCGGGTCCGCCGTTCGTCGGGTCTCCGCGGGCCGCGGCCACGACGCACAGCAGCAGCAGCAGCAGCCACAGCGGCGGCCGGGCTGCGGGCGCGCCGAAGAGCCCCGCGCCGGGAAGCATGGCGCCGGCGGGCCGCTGCCCACCAGTCCCGCGCAGGCTGCCGCTCTCGGGGAAGCCGCGACGGCTCTCAGTCGTGCGCACCCTCGCCGGCGACCAGCGCGCACTGCCAGCCCGCGGGCGGCGCAGGCCGGGAAAGGCGGCGGGGCGGGGCCGCATCCGTGACGCCGCGCCCGGGGGATGCGCGCCGCGCCCGCTGCGCCCTCTGCGCGCCGCCCTGCTGGGTGGGGGCCGCGCGCCGGCGAGGTCCCGCCTAGGGCGGACGGGGCACGCGAGATGCGCCGGTTTCCCCTTTAGGTCCGCTCTGCCCCCACACCCTGCACTCCGCTCTCCCGTCTCTTCCTGCAGTCTCGCACGGCCGCCCTAGCAGCCTTGAACGTTTAACCTGTTCTCTCTGGATTAGGATTTCAGAGTCCCAAGGCCCCTCCTGTACCTGTTTTTATTTTCCTTTGCTTCCTTAACCTGATAGTTTTCCAGGAGGGGACAAGAACTCAAGAAACAAAAACTGCTGCGTCAAAGTAGCAGCCCTGTGCTGCCTAAACTGCACAAAGATGTTGACCTGTATTCAGTTTGAACAGTGAGCAGCACAGAAGATGCTGTATCCCTCACCCACCTTAGCTCCCAGTTTGGAAACATTTATGCTCCCACCAACTGTACTGGGTGTGGTGGTGCTTGCCTGTAATCCCAGCACTAGAGAGGCTGAAGCAGGGGGATCACTGTGAGTTCAAGGCCTGACTGGACTACATATCGAGATTGTGTTTCAAAAAGAAACAAACAAAATAGATACTATCTCTAAAAATATAAAATTACATTTAAAAATTAGCGCTTTCGTCACAAGTGCCTGCCTGGCAAGCGAAAGGTTGTTTGATCCCCGGTACCCCCTAAAAATAAATAAATAATAAAACATAAAAATCACTGCTTTATTAGAAAGAATGGGAATCTATGTCATAATGTAAATACTTTTAACTTTATTTTTTCTCTTGCCAGCTTCTGCATGGGCCAGACTCAGGGTTCAGCTTTTCAACTAATTGGGACTGTAACCTGCACCATAAAATGAAACTTAAATTTAGGAGGTTTGGGGGAATATTTTGGGGTTCCCCTTTTAGAAATAAACAGCTTGGAAGGTGATGGATGAGAGCTAAGAAAACATGGGCAGGAGAGAGTCCCCTCTTTCCCAAGGATGCCACTCATGGGCCAGGCGTGTTAAAATGGACGTGTTAGCCTCCACTCTGCTCTGCAGGCCTCGCTGCTTCCCGAGCCTTGCTCTGAATGTGGAACTGGCTAGAGTCCACCGCGAGGCCCTCGGGGCTCCGCACCAGTATCCACCTGCAAGGCAGCCTCACCACCTGTGGGAGTCGTCCAGGACACCATTTAGGCCTCCAGGTTTGGTGCTTTGCAGTTACCACCCACACTCCTCTGGTTCCAGGATCACTCCCTTCCAAGAACTGCTGCAGGAAACCTGGCACATTCTGACTCCAGAGCTGCGCCCCCACATACCTTCCCAGCCATGGCCAGGCCTGGTCACAGGCTTAGAGACACAGCTGATAACTCAGCTTGGACATTCAACTGGAGAGCAAGGTGGCATGTGCACTGTTCCTGATGCTAAAGTTGCCATGGGCTTTGACATTCAAAAGTTTGTTTTAAAACATGTGTTTTTAGTACTAAGCTGCCTCGGTTAGTGCCCATTTTTGAGCCAAAGAATTGAAAAGTACCATTTTCCACTCTAAAGTTCATCCTTCTCACCACCTTTTTTTTTTTTTTTTTTTTGGTTTGGTCTTTGTGAGACAGAGTCTTTTTTTTTTTTTAAAGATTAAGATAAAAGAGGACATAACAATACAGGTCAGAACAGAACAATTTGAGCAACATAGTGTTTCACCACAAGACAACTCGACATAACAGTAGTTACCATAGTGTCTGTTTCCTTGAAATATTTGAGTATACCTCCATATATTATAGTATCAAATACAACAAGACAGTGTAAAACCATTCAAGAGAATGAAAAATTCAGCAATGTAGTTGGATACAAAATCAATCCTCAAAAATCAATAGCATTCCTATACACTAACAACAAGATCACAGAGAGAGAAATAAGAGAAGTCAACCCTTCATACTAGCAACCAAAAAAATTAAATATTTAGGAATTATTCTCACGAAAGAAGAGAAAGATCTATACAGGGAAAATTATAATACACTGAAAAAAGAAATTGAAGAGGATCTCAAAAAATGGCAAGACATCCCTTGCTCATGGATAGGAAGAATAAATATTGTGAAAATGACCATTCTCCCAAAACTCTTATACAGATTCAATGCAATCCCAATGAAAATACCATCAACATACCTTATAGATCTAGAGAAATCACTCCTAAAATGCATCTGGAACAAGAAGAGACCTAGAATAGCAAAGATAGTTCTAAGCAGCAAAGGCAAAACAGGAGGCATCACAATCCCTAAAGAGACAAGAGTCTTGCTATGCAGTTCATATTTTCCTTCAGCTCAGTTTGTAGCCCAGGTTGGCCTTGAATCATAAGGATCTTCCTTCATCAGACTCTCACATGCTGGGATCACAGGTGTGTGCCACAAGCTAAAATTCACCTTTTAAAAAAGGCCCTTGCAGCTTTGTTTCTTTTGTTACTGGGGATCGAACTCATGACCTCACACTTGCCAGGTAGGTGCTTATGCCATTGAGGTAAATCCCCAACGCTTGTTTTTTTTTTTTTTTTTTGTCCTTGCAGTTTTGAAATGTACAATAACAAATATGTGTGTTTTAGCTGATATAGAATATATGGAGGTTTTTTGTTTTTAAGTCCGGTCTCGCTATGCAGCTCAGGCTGGTCTTGAACTCATAACGATCCTCCTGCCTCAGTCTCCTGAGTGTTGGGATTACAGACAGGCATGGGCCACATTTCATATAGAATATATGTTGCAGGAAAATTTTCAAGTGAAACTGAAGACTCTTTGCACCAAGGAGATAAGAAGGCAGCCTTTAATATTTAGGCCAGCAGACTGTTGCAGGATCATTCCCAAAGGCAACAGCCCTGAATTTACAAAGAATTTAGTTTAGCTGCTGGGTGTGGTGGCTCACGCCTGTAATCCCAACACTTAGGAGGCTGAGGTGGGAGGATCATTGTGAGTATCAGACCAGCCTGGGCTACACAAAGTGAGCTCAACGCCAGCCTGAACCACATAGCAAGACCCTTTCTAGAAAAAAAAAAAAAGTTTAGTTTATTTAACATTTATGGGAATTCGGGCCATAGTATTTAGCTCAGCAGCATAAGTGCCTGCCTGGCAAGCCCCAGGTCATGAGTTCCATCCCCGTACCAAAAAGAAGTGAGAAGTATACAGCAAATGACAACATGTTACATGCATTTAATCATATGATAGGCAGGCTAGTCTTGAACAGGTTTGTTGAAACAAAGGAGTTGTTTATCATAATATAGGAACATTCTAGGAGCAAGGGCAGGGTTCCTTACAGAACTAGCCCAGGGTGCCTTAGGGTATCAGAGGTATGCAGCTGGGCTTTGGACGCTGTCAAGATCCTTTGCATTCAGTAGAAAAGCAGAAAACTTGGTCAGAAACCTCTAATTGCTCTCTAATTTGTATCATGAAATACCTATAAGTTTGCTATTTTATAAATGTGTTCTTACACTGTAATTGTGTCCCAATATATATAATTGCTAAATTATCTAGGATGTTGTAAAAATGACCATTTCCGGAGGAAATGCTTTAAGAACCTGTGTTTCCTTGTCCTGTTTAGTATGTGCCAGCTGAATGTGGAGCAGGGACGTTGATAAACTTAACCCCACCCCGTATCTGGTGGCAAAGACTGTTACAGAAAAGTGTTTACTCAAAGATCACCCATCTGGGCTGGGGATTTAGCTCAGCAGCATAAACGCCTGCCTTGCAAGCAGGCAGTCGTGAGTTTGATCCCCGATACCAATAAAAAGGAAAAAGACCAAAAAAAAAAAAAAAAAAAAAGATCACCCCTCTTCTCTCTTGCTGAAAGCCTTTTATTAAGTTAATACAAATTTGTTCAGTAAAAAAATTTTTAAAACAATGGCCTCTCCAAATTGTGTTAAGCCTAGGGCATACACAAGGCTGCCACACTTCTAAACCCAGGGGAGTATACAGATCCTACTAACACCAAGAGTCAAACCCACTTTCATTTTCTTAGGCTACGGGAAGTCTGGGGCTCTAAAGGTTGAACAAGCCTGAAAACATCTATTAATTCACTGCATTGGATTTACCTCAGTGGCATAAGCGCCTGCCTTGCAAGTAGGCAGTCGAGAGTTCAATCCTCGGTACCAATAAAAAAGAAAAAAAAAAAAAATTCACTGCATTCTCTCCTCCATTGTCCCTTGCTATGAAAGACCCAACACACCTGTTCACAGGGAGGAGGTGATTTAAAGCAAAGTCCCTCCATCTCCTTGGAGCCATGCTTGAACAAATCATTTCTTTCTTTTTATCAAAGTAAATAGCTGCCTTTGATTTGCTTAGCAGCAAAAAAACAAAGTTGCACTTATCAACCTAAGTGGCAAGATTACCAGTGCAAGCCACAATGCCAAAGATATTTTTTACTGGTTTTATTTTGTTTGTGGTGTCGGATGTGGAACTTGTCATGTGCAGGAGTGGATAGCAAGCTACTGCTTGCTGGAAAATGCGTCTTCTGGTGATCTTAAACCTGGAGCCAGTACAGAACTAAAAAAGCGGATATTAAAATACAAGAAGAAGAGCTGAGGGTTTATCTCAGCGGCATGAGCACCTGCTTGGCAAGCATGAGGTCGTGAGTTTGATCCCTGGTACCAAAAAAAAAAAATTAGAATACAAGAAGATGATTTATTTGAAGATGGAGAAAGGGGGAAGAAAAAGAGATGACAGACAGCTACTCGGGATGAATAGGGAGTATTCAAAAGTGAAATGCTTGTGGGATCTTTATCTTTAGCTCCCTTTCATCCAAAACTGGTGCCTTTATCATCCTCAATGTGGTACCTGAAGGTTGTCCCCATCTTGGCTGTCTTTGATCCTAACCTAGCCTGTGTGCCTGCATTGGCAGTTAGATTTTTTTCAGTCCCTTCATGATAGATAAGTATGGGGCGGGGGCTGATAGAAAAGTAATTTAGAGTTAGTGATCAAACAAAGGGGATATGTGTATATCATGCAATAACATAGTGGTGTTAAAGTGGAACATATGGGTGTATGTATATACATAAGAGTGTGTAAGAATATGTGGGTGCACTGTTAGGTAAACTGAGGCACAATGGGACCACTGAGACAAGCACAATTCAAGCAATGTCTGAGAACTTTATTGCAGACAGGGTACAGCTGGGCCAAGGGCAAAAAGCAAGTGGTGAGGGCTTGTTTTTTGGGTTTTTGTTTTTTTTTTTTTTTTTCCTTTTTTCCAGCACTGGGATCGAACTCAAGACCACCTGCTTGCAAGGGAGGTGCTTATGCCGCTGAGCTAAATGCCTAGCCCCCAGGGCTTGTTTTTATAAGGGAGTTTAGTTGGGGAAGGAGATATTGCCCAGGAGGTGCAAAATTTTGGGTCTCTGAGGAAGGGGTCTAAGGCTAGGTGATAGGGTACAGGGGATGCTGGCAGGCACAGCATGTCTCTTGTGGTTTTCCATGGAACCAGCTGTCTGCAGGCTGAGCTTTGTGGGAGCAACTGCTGGCTTCCTGTTGAATGCCACACTCCTCCAGCTACGAATAACAGAATAACAGATCTGTTCAGGGAGATTTTTTGTCTCCTAGTTGGGTGGAGGTCTAGTTCGGAGACTTGACATGCATAACTTACACACTAAGAAAGAGTTTTTAGGGGCTGGGAGTATAGCTTAGTGGCACAGGACCTGCCTGGCAAATGTGGGGTCCTAAGTTCAGTTACTGATACCAATAAATAAGTAAATAAATGAATAAATAAATAAAAACCTTTAGGTGACTATCATGTCTCACCTTTACAGTCTATCAGGAGATAATTTTATTTTCTTTTTTCTTTCTTTTTTTTTTTTTGTCTTGTTTTTTGGAAGTGGAATCAAATTTAGGAATTTGTGCTTGCCTCGCAGGTTCTAAATCCCTGGGGGTTTTTTTTGTTTGTTTGTTTGTTTTGTTTTTTTGACACAAGGTTTCCCTACGCAATTTAGGCTGACCTCAAACCTGCCACAATCTTCCTACGTCAACCTCTAAGTGCTGGGATTACAGGTGCCCAGCTTTTTCATGTTTTGGGAGGTGGAAATCTGTGAAATTCAATAATCTATAATCTATAGTTTTAGTCTCAGTCTCAATTTTAGAGGGTGGGAAGGGTGGCCCTAATGAGTTATCTCTATGGGAAATCCCAGAAGGGTGGTCCCTTCATGAGTCCAAGAGGACAATTTTGAAATATAAGGGAATGGGCAGACCCATTGGCCCTGAAAAGGAGTGACCCAGGTTTGCTGTTTGGTCAGAAGGAAAACAAGAACAATAACAACAAAAAACTCTGGGCTTTTGTTTTGAAGCTACAAATTCTCTTTAAAATATAACTTGCACAATTTTAATTTCCCTGTCTCCTTTCCAGCTAACTTTATTTCTTTTATCCTACCTCATCCCCTACACAGACAGGTTGATCCCTTATTCTCAAGGGGTTGCACAAGCAACTGCTTCAGGCTGAGGAGGGACCTGGATCCTGCCTAGCCAGAGACCAAAAGTCTCGCCCCGACTAAAGGAGACCTAGGAATACCAGGTTCCATCTTCTGAATGGAAGAGAATAGTCTGAAGAGAGGGCAAGGCTCTACAAGATGTTAGTCCACAACAGTGACTCCTGTAACAGACAAGAATCCCAATGCCTACTATCACAGCCAGAAAAATGGGGATGTTTTCCTATCGGGTTATTCTGGGAAACCGGGAGGCCAGGCAGTATTACAGCCCTGAGGAGAAACCCAAGGAGCTGGTTTTCTTGGTCTTTTGTGTTTCTGGCTTCTTTGGTGTTCTGTTAACCCTTCTTGATAAATTCTTACCGTGCTTGTGTTACCTGATCCCTCTCACTGGCCTAGCTTCTCTGCCCCTCCTTTGTTATTCTGATTGCTGTAACCTAGAGGCAAAACTGCCTTTATTAATTTCTTCTTAAGGTTTCTTACTAATTTCTTCTTAATTTCTTTAATAATGCTTAATGAATTGGGGTTTGTTTTGTTTTGTTTTTGCCTATGACTCTCTGTCCCTACAAACTCATGGAGGGGCAAATGTTATAGGCAGCTAAGTTAGAAATATCATAGGCAGCCAGATGGAGCTGGGCCCTTGAAGGAGCCAGTGCAGGTGACCAGATACCTTACACCTGATGCCTCCATTGAGGCCAGATCTCAGGACAAAAGATCAAACAAATGCACCCATATACTTCCTAAAGATAAACATTAGGGATTGATATTCTAAATAGGTACCTATTACCTTGTGGAAGCCAGGAAGAGCCACTGCATAGATCCCCTACAGAAAAGCCCTTATTTAGTATTCATGCCCACTGGCTTCCCATTTGATCCCAAATTAATCAATTTTACCTGAGCAATTACACTAGTAATTTTATTGGTTGATCTCATTGGTTGATCATAGTTTTGTCCCCCTCATATCCACCTTGTGATTTCCCATTTTTCCCCACCTTGGACCTGCCCCACCTTGTGGATTTGCTCTATAAAAATCCCTAGAAAAGATAGAGTCCTTGGCAACCCAGGACTCTTGCTCCGAAGAAGTTTCTTTCTCTCTTAAATGTGTCCTATTCTTAACCTCCACTGTTTGTTTCTAAAAGTCATTCTTCAATTTTTAGAGAACACAAACTTGTACTGAACATCTAGCGTGTTGGGAGTTTCTATCCTCTATATCGCAAATGCTAGGCAAGCACTCTACCACTCTACTATGGCCCTTAGGGGAAAGATATATATTTATATATTTGTGGGGCCGAGATTTAGCTCAGCGGTGTAAGGAAGCACAAGGTCATGAGTTCAGTCCCCAATACCAAAAAGAAAAAAATGGTTTCTCAAAAGAAAAAAACTATTTCTCAGGAAGTTTGTTTCATTAGATATTGGTAAATCCAAAGCTGATCAGTGTCAAAAAGGAAAACAGAGGAGGAGATGGAAAGAAGAAAAGAATGTTAGGGTTTTGTTTTTTTGTTTTTTTTTTTTTTTGGTACAGGGATCAAACTCACGATCTCCAGCTTATAAGGCAGGCACTTAATGCCTGCTGAGCTAAATCCTCAACCTGAGAATGTTAAATTTTTACTGACTGAACCACCAAACACACTAGAACTGTGCTTACTCCAGACAGGAATAGTTATTTTGTAAGTAGTCACTTTTTATTATAGGTAATCACTTTTTAAAATCTTATTTTTTTTATTGTTAAGTAACGACTTTTTAACTATAGACAGCTAAATTAGGTGGCAATATTGTAGGTAGTCGGTGCTGGGCCCTGGAGGAAGTTGGTGCAGATAATGGGAACCCATCACAACTGTGGCTGGAGACGCATTTGAAGAAAGCCAAAGTCACTATGGCCAGATTTGTCTTCTTCCCCTATGGAGAAATTGATAGAATTTTTGGGGCGCCTAAAAAGATAAGAAGTATGGAATAAAAGTGGCTTTTATTTTAAGAATGTGGGGGGAGACTCCATGACCCTCCGGAGTCTGGCATTCTCTCTGCGACACGTGGTATGGGGGCATACATGTAGCTTAGGTTTGGGGTGGAGCCTAAGGGGCATTAGTGATGCACAGGTAGCCCATTGGTATTCATTTCATGCCACGGTAAATTGCCTAGGGGTGGGAAAGGTGACCTCAAGATAGAGCCCCTTGGTTCCGCCTCCCAGCCTCCCACCTGCTACAGTGTCCCATCTGGGGCAAAATCCTTTTAGAAACAGAAGCTTGAGATTCTTGGTGTCAGCCCCTTGAGATTTCCCATTATCTCCACTTAATCTTAGCCAAAAAGCCAAGAAGCAATTTTTTGTTTTGTTTTGTTTTGTTTTAGTACTGGGGATCAAACTCATGACTCCCTTGCTTGTCAGGCAGGTGCTTATGGTACTGAGCTAAGTCCCTGGCCCTAGATTTCCCCTTATCTCAGTAGGGCTAGGCCATCTTCTCAGTCCACTAAAACTAAAACTACTAAATCTAAGACCATTAAGACTAAGACTAAAAGCGAAACTATAGATTTTCCATCAAGGTTAGTGATGTCACCATACACCCTTGCTACCGCTGGATCAATATTACCTAAGCCACTATACTTGTAATCTTGTTGGTTGATCATAATTTTGACCTACCTTGTACCTGGTACTCATGGTTTTGCTCCATGAGACTTTCTTTGAGAAAGGGGCTTGTTGGCAATCCATTCGGGATCCCTCCTGTCTCTCAGGAGCTATTCCTATTCCCTGTTCCTTTTCTCCCATAAGCTTTCATACTGAACCTCCATTGTTCTTAGAATTCATTCTTCAAGCCAGGTGTGGTGGTGCACACGTGTAAGCCCAGAGCTCCAGAGACTGAGGCAGGAGGATCACTGTGAATTCAAGGCCAGCCAGGGCTAAATACGTAAGTTCAAAACCAGTCTATGTTTATAATGAGACTCTGTTTCAAAGAAACAAACAAAACAGATTTTGTTCTTCAGTTTCTGGGAACATGAACGCAGCATGTCTGACATCTAGCATTTCCCCTATTCCACTATGGAACCTCTGCTGGTCTCGAACTGGCAACAATCCTCCTGCCTTAACCTCCTCAGTGCTGAGATTGCAGGCACATGCAACGATACCCAGCTCTCATCTCCACTTATTTTTTTTTTATATCAGGAATCAAACTAAGGATCTCACATTTGCCAGACCAAAACTGCACCACTGAGCTATATCCCCAGCCCTCCCACTTAATACTATACGAACAAAACTATGGAAAAGAATATAGTGTGTTCCAGTTGAGGGAATGTGATGGATACAATTCATTCAGCAATATTGAGCACCTATTAAGTGTTAAACACCACGCTCAACATGGGCTACAAGTATAAATAAACATGCACACAGATACACACACACACAAACACACACAGTATGACCAACGTAGTGATCTGCAAGCTACAAATCCAGGGGAAAACCTCTGCTTGCTCAGACGATTAATGCTCATAATTAAACCTTTCTGAGCAAAGCTTTATGAGACCCTGAAAAACTAAAACATAGAGCCGTGAGCCTCCCAGGGCCTTAGCTGGGCTTGCTAAACTCACACAGCCTGGTCCACAGTTGCTGAATCATGCCCCTGGCTTGCTCCCCTGTATCTTATTTCCGTGCTAACTACAAATACTTCCCTCCACCTTGGGAGAATTTTAACAGTAAACACCTCTCAACACAAACTGAACTCTGACTGACCTTTCCTGGTTAGTTTTAAATCTTTAATCTCATATTCACCTTTCCACAAATCACCTCATTGAGAGAAAATTTGTCTTTTCAGTTGAATCACTCTGTTTGTGAACAGGAAAAAGTGACTTGCTCAAACTGAAACCAACTCTCACTTTAACTTTGTGGTTGAAGGAAAACAAGTTGAGAAAGAAGTATAATTCTTGTTTTGTTGAGCATTTAGAAAGTCTTATCAAAACCGTTACAGTTTTATACTTGATATTTGATAGTTTTGGCTTTATTCTCACTCCTCTATTTTAAATACTCTATACCTTTTTAAACCTGCTCGTCTACTACTACCTTCCCTGTACAGCCTTTTTCTAATCTTTTTATTCTAAATTGACCTTTCCTTGCACGCTGAATTAAATACAGCCACAACCGCCCCAGCCCTGTGTGGGGTACTGAGAAGGAGGTACTGTGCATCCTGTTTCCCTGCTCCTTGAGTTAGGTGGGCTTTATGACTCCTCTGCCTGCAAATGTTGTTGAAGTAACATTGTGTGAGCTGTGGATCCAAACCACAAGAACATCCACTTCCCTTCTGCTGGCCACTTCCACCTTAACGGACAGTTACCCAGTGAAAAATACTATTACCCTGAGGAGATTGCCAAGCTGTGAGAAGCCCAAGGTACACGGAGGACCTTGTCAAAATAAAATCAGGTCAAGAAAGAAAAGAAATGTAAGAGTCTGCTGTTACAAAAAGGAAGAGTTTTGTGAACTGCGAGACTCCAAACCAAAAGTGGAGTTACAGGGCATTTATAAGGCACGGATGAGGAAGTACAGTGACTGGTTGTGGAACTTGTACGGTATTCCATTTAGGTAGGATGTGTCCTGCTGCTGAGCTTCATAAGCACGAGTTCCTTTGCTTGCCAGCTCCCAGGAGGAGACGGAGGGCTCTATTTGCCTCTGATCACCATTTCTCCTGTACTGATCAGTCAGGCTCCTTGCTAGTAAGACACAGAGGTGAGGGGGACCCAGAGGGACAATGCAGATCCCCACAGCTGCCTTATCACTTCTGATTTTCTTCTGCTTCTCAGGTCCTTTTTCTTGTGGAAAGGAAACAGGTTCCAGGCCTTCATGATCAGCATCTACAAACTCTGTCACTTCTTTTGGTTTGAGAAGAGAGAGGGTTGGTTATTTGCTCAGCAGGAAGAAGTTTGGAGAGGTTGATTGTCTCTAAAAGAAAAAGCATCTAACTTTGGAAATTCCACCAAAAGTCAAGGTATATATTGATCTATGGCTGTTAATGTTCAGCTTTGTCTTACTAACAATAAAGAAAAGCTTTTTCTTTGTTTGTAAGCTTGGATTTCCAAGAAAACCAGGATAGCTTGTTTCTATTGGGAGATCCTGGCTGATCTAACCTAGATTATACCCTAGAGTATACCCAGAGTGTGATTTCTATCTTAATTGCATTTTAAGATGCCCCCCCCACACACACTTTGGATCACTTTCTTTAGCCAAGAGGGTGACTAGGTGTTAGGCATGATTCATGCTTCTCACTCATTAGCACATGTTGCTTCTCCTTTCCTGTTCATCTGAAGATCACAAACCAGAATTTTAATAGAATCTTTAATAGAATATTCAAATTTCAGCCTTCCTCTCATTAGCTCATGGTATTCTTTTTTCCTGTTCAGATCACAAACCAGAACTTCCATAGGCTCTTACAAACAGTCAAATTCATATCATTTTTGTTGTTCAGTTCAGATGGAGATCATTTGATGTGCCAGGGGCCAACTGACAGATGCAGAAGATACTTATGAGAACACAGCGCAGAGGAATGTTATCAATATGACCAAAGGGACAATACCAGGAATGAAAAGTACCCCTAAGCAAGAGTTAACCAACTAAGTAGATCAATTGATTGTGCCTTCTTTATCAGGTAGGACATCTGGATCTGACCTTGCAGAACTCTAAGATGTGAAGCTATATATTTTTTCCTGCATGCTTTTGAATAAAGACTTCTAGCTTAATTGTTTCCTTGAGTTTGATCCTGGACTACATAGGGAGACCTTGTCTCAATAAGTAAATAAATAATAAATAAATAAAGCAAGCTGGGAAATTCTCACCCAGGAGAATTTTCCCGTAGTGATTTAAATTCAGAAGGAACTTCTGATGGTTTGTTTACCAAACAGCAAGTTACTGAGGGTTATTTTTTTTCATTGACCATAGAAGACGGGAAAGAAAAACTGAAGAGCTAGTAACTGCAATATTCTATAAGCCCAAGCTGTATTTTGGTCACGTCTAGGACAAGTTTGGAAAGCATTAGTGTTACTGCATGGTGGATCTGACAGACAGATTCCAGGCTCTGGTGTACTAGAGAAATGGATTGCAGGTGCATATCCAGTGGTGGTAGAAGAAAAGTATCTGTTTTTTTTTGTTGTTGTTGTTGTTTGTTTGTTTGTTTTTAGCATTTGCATTACTTGAAGATCACAGGAAGATGTGCTCAGGGAAGGTCAGTGCCAGCAGAAATAAAAAGGGTGGCACACAAACACTGCAGTGATGTCTAGGATAACAGAGATAAAAAGCACACACAGCACACAACTGTATCAGGCATTAGGATTTTTTTTTTTTGTATGAGGAATAGAATCCAGGACTTAGTGCCTTCCAGGGAGGCACTGTGTCTCTATAACCCTGGCCAGGATTTAAGATTTTTAAAGGACATGCACCCCAGCTCATAAGCCTGGCTTTGAGTCTTTAGGTAAGATTGACAGAAGTGATTGACAGGCTGCTGAGTCATCTCAGGGGCTTGCAATGAGCACATGTGTCACGGAATTCAATCTGACTAATTTATAAGCATGAGATCCAGTCCATTTTTATGAACCATCAAAAAATTTCCAGTGGGGAAAAGGTTGCTACAGGTCAGGCTGGCCTGGGGCTGCCTGGATTTCCTGGGTCTTCATTATTTTGTTTTCTGCTTCTCTCAGAACAAGGGAAGGAGAATTGGTGCTGAGATGTTGACCAAACTCAAGTGGGTTTGAAGGACTGGTCACCCAACCCCCCTCATGCTCCCTGTACTAGAAAGTATTTATTTCTTCTGAAAACAGACTTATTTTAAAGAAAAAAAGCTAGAATTTATATAATCTACTACCTCTTGTAAGGATTAAAGTTTATTTCAGTATGTGTTAAGCCTCCAATAAGCCAGTGTTAAAACAAATATTTTGAGTCCTTGTTAGATGAAGAAGTGTTTGAGTAACTTAGGAAGAAATGAAAAGGGCTGGGAGGTATTGTTCAGTGGTAGAGTGCTTATCTAGCATGTATGAGGAAAGGGGGTTCCATCAGCATTCCAGCATTGCTCAAGAAAACAAAAGAGAAGGCCAATCAGAATTGCAATGGTTTGGTACTTTTGATGTTTCACACGTCTGTAGAACAGGAAGTCCATAGAGGGTCAGGGATTTCACAACACTGCATACCTGTTTGTTTACTAAATTTAAGAGCTCCCTGGGCATGGTGGCCTATGCCTGTAATCCTATCACCCAGGAAAGTGAGGCAGGAGTTCTGAGACCAGCCTGGACTACATAGTGAGCTCTCAAGGCCGGTTTGAGTGACACAGTGAGACCTTGTCTAAAAAAAAAAAAGACGGACAGTGTGTGTAACAATTTCCTTGAGACAATCAATTTGAGCTTGGAGTGTTTCAGTGCCTGACGAATCTGCAATTTCTAAGGCGATTTCTCCCCAGGAAAGTTTTATTTCGCCTCCTGTTGGGGTAAGGAGTCTCTACCCAAGAGATTCACACAGGTAGACTCAGAAAATAGAAATATAAAATACTGTAAGAGGCCAGTAATGATAGTGATACTGTTACAGACAGATAAATTGGGTAGAAATATTACAGGCAGTTAGACAGGCCTGGGTCCTCGAAGGAGCCAGTGCAGAAGACTGGATACCTTGCATCTGGGAGTGAGACACAGACACATCCACTGAGGGTCAGGCCTCAAGACAAAAGATGAAACAATGCACCCGCATACTTCCCCTAAGGATAAACAACAGAGATTGATATTTTATATTAGTATTTATCGCTTTGGGGATGCTTGGAAGAGCCTCTGACCCACCCGCTATAGGAAGAGCCCCTGTTCATTCCTTGGTTGCTATGTGACTTGCTTCCCATTTGATTCCCTTTTAATGAATATCTCCTGAGTGATTATACTCCTGGATCTTATTGATTGACACATCTCAGCTTTGATTTTGCTCTATAAAAATCCCTAGAAAAAGCAGGGTGCTCAGCCAAGCCAGACACTAGATCTGTTTTCTCTCTCTCTCTGTCTTAGACAGAAGCTTTCTTTCCCCCAATAAATATATTATGTTCTTAGCCTCTGTTGTTCCTAGAATTCATTCTTAAATTTTAGAACATAATTCTTAAGTTTTAGAAAATACTGAACATTTTCTCCTATATCTAGCTCATGGTTCTTCACGAGCGTTTTATTGAAAATAAAAAATAATAATTAAAACAAAACACAAACGAACAAACATAAAACAGCTCCAGGATTTCCAGGATCTTCTGACTTCACAAGATGCCAAGAGAATGGAGTCTCCTGATTTTGGTCTGTGAACCTCCGAGACTGTGAGTTGAATGAAATTCTTTTTCCTTTATGCCAGCTATTTTATTATGGTGACGAAGAGCTGACTAATACTGGCTCTTAGAAAAGTATTAAATTCTTCTGTAAATTTGATTTGATATCTTTGATTTTATATCATAAAAACTCTGATCCATACCTGGAACACACAAAGGAAGCAAGAGTTTAGAGGGAAGTTGAAAAAGGGTAATGAACCAGTGGAGCCTATTTTTGTCTTAAATTTCATGAACCTGAGTCAGTAAGATCATGAGTTTGAGCCTAACATAAGCAACGTAGCAAGGTCCTGCTTCAGCATAAAAAATTTAAAGAAGAGCTAGGGATGTGGCTCAGGACAAGGACCCAGGGTTCAATCCCCAGCACTACAATACTAGTATTATTAGTAGTAGTAGAAATGATGATAATAACAATAAAATCCTTAAAATGACTATACTCATCAGTTGTCTGGTGATTCTACTGCTGTCCAGAAACCCAGGGAATAATTGGCTTTCTCATGTTACAGACAAAAGGGTAACTTGTCAAGAAGTTTCAACAAAGTGCAGGTATATTCATCAAGGCTGAAAAATTCCAAGTGCTTCAAGCAGAGCTTGGATCTCAAAGAGACTTTACCCTCAAACTCCACTGTCAGCAAGAAAGCGCTGCATGCAGTGGGCTCTGTGGTTCCTGGAACTTTTTTCCTTTTTTCTTTTTTTTTTTGCCATCAGTAAAACTTATATGTCCCATGTAATTCTCTGAATAGGACAATAAGAGCATGGAAAGGAATACTGGGCACAGCATCCAGTAACAGAATCACATAGCCAGTCATGGTCCAGATCAATAGAGCTCCTTGCAGAGGTTTCCTAAGGCATCCAGTGGAGACTCCAGTTCACAGTCTGCTCTTCCACGTGCACAACACACTCTTATGCATTTCTTTTGCACTCATCCGATATTACCTTTGAGTTACTACTATTATCAGATCCTGGCAATCTCCCCAGAGCAGGAATCCCCACTCCCTGTACATGTGTCCTGGTGGGATGGATAGGTCTCCATGACTGACAGCTATACCCAACTGGCCTGCCATCTTGCCATCCCCTAATTTCCTGTCTCATTTCCTTTTAGGAAATTGGTTTTTAGGAATTGATTGGTTTGATTTTATCAAATTGACAAGAAAAAAAAAGCTTAAACTTTGTTTATAGTTAGAGCTTGTGTTTTGTGGAAATCAGGAGAGCTCAAGGATCAGTTATGGGGTGGTTGTTTTAGGGGTGTTCCCAAATTGTAAATGTTTTTGTTTTTGGTAATTTTTTTTAAGACAATGTTTCTCTATGTAGTTCAGACTGACCTGGAACTCACTTTGTAGCCCAGGCTGGCCTTGAACTCAGGTCCTTTTGCCTCAGCTTTCCTGAGTGCTGGGATTACACGTGAGTCCCACCACACCTTGCTCATTTTGGTTTATTTTCATGTATTTTTTTAAAAATTTATTTTATTTCCAGGAGAAAAAGAAAAAAGGAAGGGCCAGGGATTTAGCTCAGTGGCATTAGTGCCTGCTGGCAAATGCAAGGTTGTAAGTTCAATCCCCAGTACCAAAAAAAAAAGAAGAAAAAAGAAAAAAGCTAAAATGAAATTTTAAAATACGTCAATCAGTGTGGTTTATTTTTAAAAAGTCTGAATGATAAGATATGCAGAGAGGTAGAGGCCAAGGAGCAATGAAGTAGCAGATTTGTGAAGGACCTTTCTTTTGTTTTCAATTGGTATTTTTTTATTTTATTTTTTATGAGGAACCATTCTTGGACCCCTAGGAAAGGCCTGCCCCTGCTGAGTGACACTCATTGATTCCAGACGGTTCTCTTTGAACAGAAGAACTGCCCAGCTAAGCCCTGCCTGAACTCCTGGCCCAGAAAATTATGATACATGTAAAATTATTGTTGTTGTTGTTGTTTTGCTTTTTTAAGTTATTGCTGTTTTAAGTCACTAGGTTTTGGAGTAACTAGTGTTACTACAATAAGTAATCCAAACCCTCTCCTCTGACCTTGTGCTGTCTGTAAAATTAATTTGACAACTAATAATTTATAATCTTGCAACTCAATGTTTATTGCTGACTTACATTTCAATTTAAATATTTCTCTGTCATTCAATTTGTGAGATAATTGTATCTTCTGTACCAATTAGAATGTATTTTTATGTATCTCCAAACTATCATATAAATACCATTCCCAAGGTACTGCATTTTATTTACTAGAAAGTTAGTGTAAACAAAACATTTGCTTCTTTTTTGCTAAAATTTATATTGTGTCTTCAAAAGAATTCTATAAAATCTTTCTCCCCCTCTCAGTATATAAGCTGTTCTTGAATGAAAAATGTATAACAGAGTCCAGGGAAGATATGAAAATTATAAGGGAATTTATGTGCATAGGTTGCCTCTTAATGAAAATATTTTATTTTTTAATTACTAGAGAAAAACATGTATGAAATAGTAATTGGTACAAAGGTACAAAAATAGAGGTAAGAATTTACTAGTGAGCTGGATGTGGTGACACACACCCATACCAGCACACAGGAGGCTGAGTCAGGGGAAGCATTTCAAATTTGAGACAAGCCTGGGCTAAAAAGTGAGCTCAAGGCCAGCCTGATCTGGGTAATGAGACCCTATCTCAAAAAAAAAAAAAAAAAAAAAAAAAAAAAGACTTACTAGTGGTCATTAGTATAAAAAATAAATAAACAAAAAAGGCAAATACTGTTGTACTCTAAGAAAATAGCTTCATTACATGTGTATTATAGCAAACCTGTAAAGTGGATTACTAAATGGTTTTTTTTATCCTTTTTCCCTAACTGATATGTTAAGTGACCTAATTGATATGTTGAACAGCACTCTCCTCTGTAAAGAATTGCAAGAATCTCACCTAATTGATATGTTAACCATTGTTGCCCTCTACAAACTACAGAAGTTGTGCTAAAACAAGCTAACAAGGGTTGTTAATCACTGTTAGGCGCCTCTATTCTCCGCTAAAGAGCTAAAGAAAACTAGAATGGCCCACTAATTTATACTTGTTTAAAGTAACCTGCTTGTGTGCAGAGAGATTTGCGTATGAGTTTAACCCTTTACCCTGACCTTGACACATAACCGCCGTTTTCTCTTCTGTATGGCACCTTATTGCCTCCCTCTCCCCTCACCTATCTATCTAGGCCATAAAGAATTTGGGTTTCTGGTGACCTCCTCCCAACCCGGTGATGATCTGTCATAGAATGAGCCTGCCCCAAATTTTAAGAACTGTTTAGCTTCAAAGAAACTACCAGGAAATACTATGGCCCAAACCCCAATCGGTGCTTTCCTTTTGTTCTGTATGCATCAAATGAGTTAGATATCAGATCTTTGTAAAACTTAAGTTTCAGCTTCTTGTAACTCTTGACCCCTTCGCACCCACTAGCGAAAACGAGCTGTCCTGGGATAATTAACTGTCCACTTTCTTCTCCAAATATTGCTGCAGATGTGCCACTCTGAGATAATGTCAGTCTGTAGGATGGGAGTAATTTGAGAAACACCAGGAACTCCCGAGATTGTCAGAGCTAAGTGGACAGCAATAGTTTCCAGACTTGGGTCAACAAGTTTGATGGCCCTGCAAGTTTCTTTGTTTCTCCCCCCACCCTTTTCCTCCAGCCTCTTTTTAAAGTCCTCCCTTCAGTCTCTGGGACACAGTCTCCAAATTGGCTCCCGGAGACTGGTCGCCAGGCCTGGAAATAAAGCCTTTGCCACCTAAATTTTCGGTCTCTTGCCTCCTTGGATTTTATACCGGGGCCCAAGTTATAACAAATACAAGAAGTCCAGGCAAGTTTCTGCAATGGCCTCCAGCATACCTGCCCACTGGTACATATACCTTCTACAGTTCCCTCTGACTGCGCATGGGCAGATTGTGAGTAAGATGAGGCAGTCGCCACTTCAATTAGGTGGCATTTGATGAGACTAGTCTGGCCAACTGGAAGGGGAGATTGCTACAGAAACACAGCTGCCCTCCTGCTTTTCTCAAAGAAGTAAACAACTACAATGTGAATGGTTCATGGAAAGAGGCAACCATTTAGACCTAAAACCACAGGAGTCAGCTCTGCTGATGATAGACCTGGACAAAGCCTCAAGGCTCAGATGAGAATGCAGCCCTGGGACCACCATGAGTGCAGCCTTCCGAGACCATGTGCAGAAAACCCAGCAATGGTGCTGGAAGTCTTAATTCAGGTAAGTTGTCAGATCACACATTTCTGTTGCTGTAAATCACTAAATTTGTGATACTTTGTTATACAGCGATAGAAAACTAACAGCCAGAGGTAGTGGCACATGCCTGTTATCCCAGCACTTGGCAGGCTGAGGCAGGAGGATTGCCTCAAATTCAAGGCCAGCCTGGGCTACAGAATGAATTCAAAGCTAGCCTGAACTAAGAGCAAGACCCTGTGTCTATGTAAATAAGAAAATTAACACAGTTGTCCATCAGCTGTGATTCTAATGGTACTATGAGAAAATGTCTCTATATTGATAAAGTCTTAAGATCAGAAATGGATAAGAACCAATAGGAAAACTACTATGATAGCAGTATTTCTAAACTGAGAGTTTTGACTAATTATATATAAAGTGTGTGAAGAAGCATTAATCTCAGGGTTGACAATCTTTTGCATATCTTAGGCAATAAATCGTAACTTGCCTAAACCAGTCAGTGTAATTTGATTCCCTTTAGCAGTGGTTTGAGACAGGAGCATGTATAGCCAATGAGATACAAGAGTAAATGCCCTTTGGAGATGTTTCCTCATTAGAGAAAGAAAAAGATCTCAGATGGAAAAGACTTTTCCCACTTGCCCTTTGTCTCTTTTTCGTTCCTTGCATACAGCAACGATGCCAACACTGGCAGGGGCAAATTTGCAATCATTTAAGGACGAACCAACTTCTCCAAGAATAATAGAATAAAAAGCACAAAGAAACCTGGTTTTCTTAGTAACGCTATGGAGCTACTGGATCAGCCTCCAGATGCCTACCTCCAGACTTACATAAAATTACTATGAATGTAGCGCTGTTTGGAGTTTGGGTTAATGACAGCTGAATACATTTCTATCTGTTCCAGGACCTGCTATGGCTTGCCTTATTCTAAATGTAAAAACCTAACTCTGTGCCTCAGAATTCCCATTAACTCTCCACACAGAAACTTTCTATGTCTTTGCTTTAATGACTCACTTTTTTTTTTTGATACCAAGAATTGAAATGATTCATTCTTGCTATGAGGATAATATGTAGTATCTAAACTTTTTCATAACACAACTTTAAGTAACTGTTGAACTATGTTTTAGTTTTTTTCTTTTTTAATCGGTACCGGGGATCAAACTCACGACTGCCTGCTTGCAAGGCAGACCCTTATGCCGCTGAGCTAAATCCCCAGCCCCCTGAACTATCTTTTAACATCTCCCTCACACAAGCTCTACTTACCCAGAAATGTTTGAATTCCCCCCACAGTCAGCTAATACGTTTCTCTCTTGAGGTCCTCAGTGTGACCTCTTTTCATCTAGCTCCCTAAATGTGTTTTCAGGAGCTATGTATATTGTTTTTTAGAAGTTTTTTTTTTAACTTTTTCTTTTTTGTTACCAGGAATCAAACTTAGACCTCATGCTTGCCAAACAGGCGTGCACTGCTGAGCTGGATCCTGGCCCAAGTTCCCTAAATGTGGAAATGGCTTCTGTGCCATAATATCCAGCACACTGTGTGACTACATAGACATTTGTTGCATAAATGAGTGAAGAAATGCAAAAGCTACCAGCCTGTATTCTCAGGAGACCAGCCATCTCCTAAAACATCCTCACCCACAGACATGAGCCTTATCACTTGCTGCCTTCCCCCAGAAACGTTCTAATCTCTGCAACATTTCTGTCTGCCCGTATCTTTCCCACAGGCGTGGCAGTCTTGCGCACTCGGCCACCCCTAGCTTCTCTACTTTAATATTACTGCTACGAATTCCCATTCTGAGCCTTTTCCCTTTAAACTGCTAAATACTACTCCATCCTGAGGCTGTCCCACCTCGCATCCACCAGTTCCCAACTGACAGCATTTATGCTGGCTTTCATACTCTCCACACACAAATTAATGAAAAATTTAGTCATTGTACATTTATTAGGTTCAAATGAAAACACAAGTGGAATCAGTCACAGGAATATGTCTATAAAAGATATTTTCCTGAAAAAAATCTGTGTTTTCTCCTCACATCTTCCACAGTATTCCAATACTATTGCCACATTATTATTTTCCTTCAGAATCGATCTCACCTTCTCATCAGCAGTGAGAGGGCCTCTTTCCTCATGCCAATGCCTGCAGATCAATTTCTACATCCCAAACTTAGCTTTGAGTTTCATTTGGGTTTTGTTTGTTTGATTGTTTGTGACAGGTTCTTACCATGTAGTTCAGACTGGGCTGAACTCACAGCAATCCTCCTGCCTCAGTATCCCAAATGCTAGGATTACAGACATATGCCACTGTGCCCAACTATTTTTATTGTCTTATATGGTGAGTACATTATATGCTTTTTCCCCCCATACATGTGTGTCTTATTTATTTCACTAGTGAGCATGTTCTCAAGATACATCCATTTTCCATAAAAGTGTCCAGTTTATCGTTTTTTTTGTCTTTTTCTTTGTTATCAGTACCAGGGATTGAACTCATGACTACGCACTTGCAAGGCAGGCGCTTATGCTGCTGAGCTAAATCCCCAGCCCCCAGTTTATCATTCTTAATGCTGAGTAGTACTCCATTATATAAATATACTACATCTTTTTTTATCCATTTCTGTCACTGGGCATTTGTTTCCGAGCTCTGGCTATTATAAACTGAGCACACTATCTGTTAAATATACACGTCTTGCTGCCAACAACAAAATCTAGTCTGGCTAGTTTAGCCAGAACAATAATCTCTTAGAGGTGATTATGCACTCCTACTCAAGGTTGTTGAAGAAATGGAATTAAAGATAAAGTTCCAGGACACCCAGAGCCATGTAATAAGCTATCCTGATTTTGACACTGCTACTACCTCCTCCATCCAACATGAAATACCAGAGACTCAGCACCCTTGTGGCCACTACTGCCTTCACCCTTGATGCCACCTGTAATTAGGGAGTCGTGGTTGCACTTTCTCATGTCACTTATACCAACAAAATAAGAAGCCTGCTTTGCTCATCTCTAAAGCAGTCTCAGGGTGTGTCTGTTGGCCAAAGTCAAAACTGCATCCTAGCTGCAGCTGGAAGAGAAACTGGTGATCAAGTTCTAATATCAGTGAGGGAAGGCAAAGTTCATAATGTGAAAATTTCCCCAAATGTAGGAAGATATTCAAGCTATGGCAAGAAGTCTTGACTGTATGAAAAACTCCACCCCAATACTGTAGACCATTGATAGGCAATCAATCTTCCTAGTTTTCTGAAATGAAAGAAGAGGCTCCCCTCAATATCCTACATGCACCTCTCATTTCCTTCTTCTCCCTAAAAAAGTCATATAGTTTAGGTCAAAAATGACCCCTGAAGCTCTCATGTGCTTGGGGGGGGGTGCAGGAAGGAGTTGGGATCATGGCGTGCTATAGGTGAATGCAGTGTGAGAAGCTCGGACCTGGTAGGAAGAGGCTGCTCGCTGAGGACCTGACGTGGAAAGCTGAGTCTCTCTCTCTCCAGCTCCTCCCTCCTCTCTCTGCTTCTTGGCCTCCATGCTTTGCGCAGCTTTCCTCCTCCAGACCCTTCTTCCATGCCATTTCTTCCTTGGGGCCAGCCAAACATGGACTGGGACCTCTGAAAACCATAAGCCAACATCAATCTCTGCTCCTTGTAGCTGAGGTTGTTAGATATTTTGTCTTACCTGGCATGTAGTAACAGAATAGCATCTGCTTGGCAAGCATGAGATTGTCAGTAGCAAAGGAAAAAAGAAAAACAAAAAAACTCCAACTACACATATTGTGTTTAGTGACAAGGCAGTGATTAAGACACCTTTAGTATAGACAGACTTTAATATAGTTAAAGAAACAAGATGTACCATATACTGCCACAAAATCCCTATGATGAATGTTATGATTATATACATACATATATATATATGGTAAAATAAAAAATGCCAAAAAATTACTATAGTTTTGTGTAGAGGCCAGGTATTGCTACCTATTTCAGTGTAGAAATGATTCCAAGGAATACAGAGCTTCTGCTATGTGGTATCCCTAGCACTGTGGCCAGGCATTCCAACTTGAAGTGCCCAGGAAGAGGTCCTCATATCCTGGTATCATTTGACACCAGAGGTGTATAGAGTAAAGGAGATGCCAGGTTACAGATGTATGGAGCCAAGTGCTGGTCCCTGAAAATTTTTTCAACCATCTGACAAAGTCAGTGTAAGGCAACTTTTCAATTTATTACCAATATTTAGTCAGAAGTGATATTTGTCCTACTGGGGTATGTTTTGTAATTCAACATATTTGATTTCAAATTTTCTATGACTGGGGAATCGAGCAAAGATGGCAGATAGATAACAGCAGGCTACAGAGGCTCCCTGAGATAGTCCACTTAGAATTCAACATAATACAGTGTGGGGAGTCCGGAACAGAGGGAGATAAATTCTCTTGTCCCAAGAAGAAACTGAGGTGAGAAAAATCAATCAAACATACAGTCCCGGTGCTACTATTGGAACAGCTAAAGATTCAGTGCTTCCGATGCAGTGTCTGAACTCGTGTGGCAGCGACTTCACGGAAACACAGTCACACAGAGGTCAGA